GTACCCATATCGGTGCATCCCTAGATGAGACCACCCCGCAGCCAATCAGAGCACAAAGATCCTCACTGGACTAGAATAACTGAAAGCCAAAGTCTCAGAACCATCAGTACACTGGACCAACCTCGGGGGCTACTAAGCCAGAATGAGCTTTCTTTATATACAGAATAGATTAGGTAGCATGGGCCCGCTATTCTTAAAGGAGAACTACGAGGGGGAGGGGCTTTTCACTCACCTCATAGTTCTAGCCGACCTGTGACAATGAGACTGTCACAGGTCGGCTCAGTAGATCGGGAGGTGAGGGAACACATACCGGCGTTCGCTCACCTCTCGATCCTGTCACGGCTCTCTGCCGTGACAGGGGGAGGGGCTGGATTCCCCGCTCCGATCTGCCAACGCTGACTGGCGGAACGGACGGGGGAGGGGGCGGGTACAGCTCTAGATAGGCGGAGCCAGCTGTCACTCACGCAGCTGGGCGGATCCAGACATAATTGTCCCGGCTGCGGCGGTCTCAGTATACCGCGAGCAGCAGCTCCCTATATACTGAGCTTAGGGTGACGGGAGGACGCTAGTTTGTGTCCTCCCGTCACCCTGAGGAGAACTATGGGGGGGAAAAGCCCTGACCTCGTACTTCTCCTTTAATAGACGGAAGCCACCTACAAAGGTAAGCGAACGCAATGTCGATAGGCAGGTGTATACGAAAATCCGACGCGTTTCGACGTCTTCACCTCCTTCATCAGGGGCTGTCAACGGTGACAACATTGCAAATAATCCAAGTGAACAATATACTATAAATACCGATAACAAAGAAGATTTGTGAACGTGTGAATGTCATAGTGTTCGCGGTACATAAAAAGAGACTTTGCGACCGAATCTAAACGCGTCAGCTATGTAATATAAGAGGAGACGACACTTAACTGGACACGCCTTCCACTTCTGAGGTCACCGCGGGAGAGCTCAGGGCCACGGAGAGCAGCAGGAGCACCAGACCGGACTTCATGTTCTCCTGGTGAGGAAAACAAACGACACATCTGTGTTATATCTCAGCAGACACAAACCAGGGGAGGGAATAGCATTGGGCTTTATACAAAACACAAAATGGTTACAATGTTTCAAATATATACATTGTCACATTTCCCAACATCCTGTATGGCTGTGGTGGCCGACGCATGTAAAGGGTATTGAATGAGGCCCCTGACTGCAGACATGCTACAGGAGATGGTCAGAGACTGCAGACATGCTACAGGAGATGGTCAGAGACTGCAGACATGCTACAGGAGATGGTCAGAGACTGCAGATATGGTACAGGAGATGGTCAGAGACTGCAGACATGCTACAGGAGATGGTCAGAGACTGCAGACATACTACAGGAGATGGTCTCCCAATCCACATGTCTGCTACCAATGGAAACCCAACTTCCAGTTCACTGAAGCCGAAGTGAGTTCCCTTTATTATCTGCGTTTCCATTTATAAAGCATCGTACAATTCCATCTTCCTGGGCCCTTCAATAAGCTGGGGACTC